TGCAAAGGACAGGATGACTGGCAGATCCTTATAAATTCTAACACTACACTCACACTCAGTCATTCTTTCCCTCTAACCTTAGCACCTTTACTCTCAATGAAATATTAAAGGATTTGTCAAAAAGGAGAATGGTTCAAGTAAAGATTCACATCTGAAGCCAACAAAATAACTATTAACTTATGATGATAATGTCACTGGAAGGTTACACAAGAAACTTATAAGAGTAGTTGCCTTCAGGGAGGGGGACTAGACAGCCCTAGTATAGGAAAGAGAGGTAAACTTTACTGGATTCTTTTATACCTTTTAAATTTTTACTATGTGTATGTATTTTTTCTTTTCTTGCATTTTTAATAATCACAAAAAACTACCTCCAGTAGTTGAGGCCAATAATGCACATGTGTGGTCTGATGAGGTGTGATATGACATCCTCACAAGGAGGAGAGAGTACACTCTGTGTTCTTATTACAACAAAACATGTCACTCATATAAAAACTTCGTAAGTGTTTGGGATCATTTCAAAGTTACATAACACTTGGCGAAGTTTAATATATATAATGCCAGGACCCTTCTGCAGACCAATTATTAACAAAAGGGAGCCTCATGGTGGGAAACAAGCATGGGTATTTTCTTAAAGCTTCAAAATGATTCTAAAGTACAGCAAGGTGTCACCTAGACCAAGGATGTTAATCTGATAAGAAATATTAATGGAATAAGAACAAGAATTTTTAATAAACACTTTCTGTGTCCTAAGCCTAGTCCTCTGTGGTAAATTCAGAGAATCTATTTGATTCAGTGACAAATTCACAGGTAATATGATTCTATAAGTACTCAAGCTTGCCAAATAAATGTTTGCCAAAAGGAAGTGAAACATTGATTAATATTCATGAGCAGATTGAGGACTTAGCACAAGTTCCTCGAGAACATGGCACATGTCTAATGCTGTGGGAGGTACAAAAGGAATCTATTTTAGTAGTTATTCCCATAAGGAACTTACGTTACAATTAAAGAGACAAGACTGAACTTGTAACCCACAGCTCAACTCAGGCTTCCCACACAATGTTTCTTTAAAATATGTGAATTAGGCTGGGCACAGGGGCTGACGCTAATCCAAGTACTCTGGGAGGCCGAGGCAGGAGATTGCTTGAGCTCAAGAGTTTGAGGTTGCTGTAAGCTAGGCTGACACCATGGCACTCTAGCCTGGGTGACAGAGTGAGACTCTGTCTCAAAAAAAAAAAAAAAAAAAAGACTGGTTAAATAAAGTATGGTACTACCAGGGTGGAATGCTATGGACTGCTATATGCAGCTTTTTTTTTTTTTTTTGAGACAGAGTCTCACTTTGTTGCCCAGGCTAGAGTGAGTGCCGTGGCGTCAGCCTAGCTCACAGCAACCTCAAACTCCTGGGCTCGAGTGATCCTTCTGCCTCAGCCTCCCGGGTGGCTGGGACTACAGGCATGCGCCACCATGCCCGGCTAATTTTTTATATATATATCAGTTGGCCAATTAATTTCTTTCTATTTATAGTAGAGATGGGATCTCACTCTTGCTCAGGCTGGTTTCGAACTCCTGACCTCGAGCAATCCGCCTGCCTCTGCCTCCCAGAGTGCTAGGATTACAGGTGTGAGCCACCACACCCAGACAGTATTTTCTTCAGTTTCTGTTTGTTTTGGTTTTTTTTTTTTTTGAGACAGAATCTCACTCTGTCACCTTGGATAGAGTGAAGTGACATCATCATATTTTACTACAACCTCCAACTCCTGGGCTCAAGTGATACTCCTGCCTCAGCCTCCGGAATAGCTGGGACCATAATTACCTGGCTAATTGTTTTTATTTTTAGTAGAGACGGGGTCTTGCTCTTGCTCAGGCTGGTCTCAAACTCCTGAGATCAAGCAATCCTCCCGCCTCAGCCTCCCAGAGTGCTAGGATTATAAGCATGAGCCACCATGCCTGGCCATTTTCTTCCCTTTTTGCACAAAATGGCAGACATTATGTATATTGTTCTGCACCTTCATTCTTTTAACAGCTTCATGGTATTTATAATTTGTGAATTATTCACAAATGGATTTACAATTTATTTTACTCAATTCTTTGTTGATGGACTTTTGGTTGTTTTCAGTTTTTATTGTAAATAACGTTGCAATAATCATTTTCATGCTTTTTATAAATGTACAGTAGAATAAATTCCTAGAAGAGGAATGGCTAAATCAAAAGGTATATATATAACCAAGGCAAACTTCCCTCCAAGAGTGTTGGTTCAATTTATACTCCCACTAGTGGAGCACAAGAGCACCAACTTTCCCACCCTCTTGCCCATGATAAATATTTTAGACTTTATTTATTTATTTATTTTGAGACAGAGTCTTGCTCTGTCACCCAGGCTAGAGTGCCGTGGTGTCAGCCTAGCTCACAGCAACCTCAAACTCCTGGGATGAAGCAATCCTTCTGCCTCAGCCTCCTGAGTAGCTGGGACTACAGGCATGTGCCACCATGCCCAGCTAATTTTTTATATATATGGTTAGTTGTCCAGCTAATTTCTTTCTATTGTTTAGTAGAGACGGGGTCTCGCTCTTGCTCAGGCTGGTCTCGAACTCCTGAGCTCAAATGATCCACCTGCCTTGGCCTCCCAGAGTGCTGGGATTACAGGTCTTAGACTTTTAAATGTCTGCCAATCTGATGAGTGAAAAGTGGTTGCTCACTGTTGTTTTTATTTTCATTTCTCTTATTATGAATGAAGTTAAATACTTTCATATTTTTAAAATTGATTTATGGATATATAATTCACATATAATACAATTCACTCATTTTAAGTGTACAGTTCAATGGTTTTTAGTATATTCACAACAATTACCACATTCAATTTTAGAACATTTGCAGTACCTCATAAAGAAACCCCAGACTGAGCATGGTGGCTTACACCTATAATCCCAGCACTTTGGGAGGCCAACATGGGAGGATAGCTTGAGCAAAAGAGTTTGAGACCAGCTTGGGCCAGCTTGAGACCAGCTTGTTCCTACAAAAAATTTAAAATTAGCTGGGTGTGGTGGCTCATGCTTGTAGTCCCAGCTACTCAGCATGATGGCTTGAGCCCTGGAGTTTGAGGTTACAGTGAGCTATGATCATGCCACTGCACTCCAACCTGGGTGGCACAGTGAGACCCTATCTCAAAAGAAGAAGAAGAAGAAGAAGAAGAAACCTCATATACTTTAGCTATCACTTGTCTGTTTCCAGATTACCCCTAGCCCTAAGCAAACAGTAATCTACTTTCTGTCTCTATAGATTTGCCTTTTCTGGACATTGCATATAAATGGAATTGTATAATATGTGGTCTTTTGTGACTTGTCTCTTAGCATAATGTTCTCAAGTTTCATCCATGCAGTGTGTATTTAGACTTCAATTCTTTCTCTGACCAAACATTCCATTGTATGGCTATGCCACATTTTTTAATCTGTATATCAGTTGATGGATATTTGTGCTGTCTCCACATTTTTTTTTGAAACAACATAGAGCAGCAAGGACCCTAGAATTGTGCAGATGAGACTACACTGAGCAAACATAATCTCCTTAATTACTGTAACTGAGCAGTCAAATGTGATGAGTAAAATATTAGACTAGGAAGTACGACACTTAAAATATCAATCTTGCCACAGAAGATTCTCTGTGTAATCTTGATGTTAATCTACTCTGAACCTTTTTTCCCCGGACGGAAACTGACTTCTATCTATACATCTCCTAAAGAAGAATGAAATAGAGTCAAGCTTTGAATTGCTTGGAGAAATGCTTACCAACTCATATAAGACTAGTGTGCTCGGCCAGGCTGGGTGGCTCACGCCTATAATCCGAGCACTTGGGGGAACCACCATGCCTGTAGTCCCAGCTACTCGTGAGGCTGAGGCAGGAGATCGCCTGAGCCCAGGAGTTTGAGGTTGCTGTGAGCCAGGCCAAAGCCATGGCACTCTAACCCAGGCAACAGAGTGAGACTCTGTCTCAAAAAAAGAAAAACAACAACAACAACAACAAAATACTATGCTCTATAGGAAAAAAGGAAAGGAAAGAAACCAACTAATAAAGAAATATAAACTTCTATGTAGTTCCTATGAAATATATACTCCAAATACCAATTATGATATCATATCTACTCTTGAATTCCTATCACAGACTAAATTAAGCAGTTTAACCTATAAATAAATAATTTATCTTAATCAATAAGGTAACTTCAAATGCAATGAACCTTTGCTTAGAAAGTAGTCTATGAACTGTGACAAAAATGGGGAACCACAGGCTGTGATCTGTAGATTTCATAGAATCATATTCTCATAGTGTTTCTCAACAGTGGTATTCTGGATAATACAAGATGTAGGACCATCTCATACATTGACATTTACATAGCACATTTAACGTTCCTGGTGCCCTGAACCGATAAATGCCAGCAGTGGTCCCTAGTCATTGTGACTACAGAAAATGCCCGCTTTTATTTCCAAATACTGAATAGGGGTGAGGCAATATGGAAGAAATCTTCTAGTCTAGCTTTTGCATTTTATAGATGAGGAAACTGGGTTTCAGGGAAGCCACATTGAGCCAAGTATCCTTACCCCTTTCCAAGTGTTCTTTCTGTCCCTTTGGTGTTTACAGTATTTACTCTTCACTCTCACTACTCAAAGGTAAATGAAGACCAGTTCTCCATTGGAATCCCACCCCTACTTGCCCACATCTTTTTTGCCTTTCTTCTCTATCCCTTTTTTCTTTCCATTTTGTGACACAGTAGGTTCAAGAGTTACACCATTTCATCCATTTATTTTAACAAATATTTATTGGACACCTGATATGTTTCAGGCTCTGGGCTAGGGGCTAGGAATACGGTGGTGAACAAAACAGACATGGCATCTACCCTCGTGGTAAAGGGGGAGAGCCTGGCAAGTTTTAAGTAGAATGGAATAAACACAGAGAAATATATAATTACTAATTGTGATAGTGGCAGAAGTGAAAAGAATCGAGGAAGAACCTACTTTAGAATTGGGAGCACCAGGGAATGTCTCGCAGAGGTCATAGCATTTGAGATGTTGCCTGAAGGTAAGTATGAGCTAACAGAGGTTTATAGTGATGCAAAAGAACCCAAGCAGGAAGGAGCCTAGGAAAGGAGACTCGTGTCATTAGAACACCATCATCATGAGCACCAAAGTTGAGTGGAAGACAATGCTGGAGGATTAAGAGGTATGCAGGGGATTGCTGGCCATGGAGAGAAGTCTAGATTTTATTCCAAGAGTAATAGGGAACCATTAAAAGGTTTTCAGCAGGGTACTAACATGATCCTATTTATATCTTTTAAAAGATCACTGTAGGCCAGGCATGGTGGCTCATGTCTGTAATCCTAGCACTCTGGGAGGCCGAGGTGGGCGGATTGCTCAAGGTCAGGAGTTTGAAACCAGCCTGTGTGAGACTTCGTCTCTACTAAAAATAGAAAGAAATTAATTGACCAACTAAAAATATATATACAAAAAATTATCCGGGCATGGTGGCACATGCCTGTAGTCCCAGGTACTTGGGAGACTGAGGCAGGAGGATCGCTTGAGCCCAGGATTTTGAGGTTGTTGTGAGCTAGACTGACGCCATGGCACTCACTCTAGCCTGGGCAAGAAGCGACACTCTGTCTCAGAAAAAAAAAAAAAGATCACTGTGAAAGGGTCTGTTGTATATGATTCTATCTCAATGAAGTTCAGTAACTGGTCTACGATGATTAGAAGAGTGGTTGCCTATGGGTAGCGCGGTAAGAATTTTTTTTCTTTAGACAGTCTGTCCCCCCCCCCCCCCCCAGAGTGCAGTGGCATCATCACAGCTCACTGCAACCTCAAACTCCTGGGCTCTGGCAATGCTCCTGCCTCAGCATCCCGAGTAGCTGGGACTACAGGCATGTGCCACCATGCCTGGATAATTATATATATATATTTTTAGTTGGCCAGCTAATTTCTTTCTATTTTTTTAGTGGAGACGAGGCCTCACTCTTGTTCAGGCTGGTCTCGAACTCCTGAGCTCAAACGATCCGCCCACCTCGGCCTCCCAGAGTGCTAGAATTACAGGCATGAGCCACCACGCCCAGCCTCTACTGTATTATTTAAAATAAATTTAAGATCCTACATTTAAATTTAGGTTACCTTCACAATCTCCGGCTCACACCCAGGCCTGAGGCTTTGAGGCTGAGAGGAGATCTGGTGCTCCAGACACAATTCTCCTGTGGCTCAGTGCCCCACACCCTTGGCGATGCCCTGGGTTTGCTTTGGAGTGTGTTTGCAGGCTGACACTCTTCCAGCTCAGTTAGTTAAGGTTTTGCGTCTCCCATGTCCAGCTCCCCTTGGTCTGCAAGAGAAAGAATGGATGAGAGAAGAACAAATCCCCTCCTGTCCTTTTTTTTTTTTTCTTTCCAAAATTTAGGTGGCTAAAAGAAACCTCCTCCCCCTTTGCCCTGAAAGCTGAACTGGAGAGTAGGGAAAGTGAAAATCCCAATTTGATGAAGGCAGAACTGAAGCCCTTATGTTCTAGCCTCAGGCAAAGCAAAGCTGCCTCCTTCCATCCTGTTTCGTTTATTTTTTTTAATTTAAGAGGTTTATTAATTTTTCTCTCTCTCTCTCACACACACACACACACAAACACACACACTTCCCCCAGAAAAGTCTCTCTTGACATATTCAGGATTTTCTGAAATGGTCTTGATTTCTACCATATGTACTGTATATACTGCAATACTCCTTTGCTGCTCACCGTCCAAGTGCTCCATACTCTGCTAAGCATGGGTGACCTCAGATGTTTAATTTACAGACCAAGGGGCTCTCCTCAAAACAGTTCATTCAGCTACAGTACTTGGATAGTGCACATGTGTTAAGTAGATAGCCAGGGATTCCAGGTCTCCTAGGGACGAAAGTGGGTGCCTTGCCTTGGTACTATAATTGCCCCACCTGGGAAAGAGGCCAAGGGTGGGCCCCAGGCACCACCCTCCCCCCTATCTTGGTGCTGCCCCACCTTAATCCTGTCCTGAGCACTGCCATACCTGGGGGAGGATGGAACACCTTGTAATCTACCAATCAGAACTTAGCATGCCAACTGCAAAAGAATGCAGAGGACTCTCTAGGCCACCGGCCAAGAGGCATAGGTACAATAGAATCTGGAAGGTGATTTAGGACAACCTAAGGCTAATTATAATGTCATTAGCTTAAATCTGTGAGGTGGTTCACCCACCACAATGAGCTTTCACAGAGGCTCATGGGAGATCTGCATGTGTAGTAAGACTAAGGTCATACAACTCCCAACTGTCCAATCAAAATGGTTCCATGGTGACATTTGAACCACGAGGACATGGTCTGGACACTATAAAACAAGACATAGACTATAACCAAGATCTCTTTTTGCTAATAAGGAGTCCCATTGTCATCTGTGGCATATATATCTTGTTCTGTAAACCTATATCTTGCTCTTTCTCTATAATCCTATCTTGCTCCCCCTTAATAAATTTCACCTTGTGCTTGCCTTACTTTGGTGTGTCTGGTCATTCTCAGGCCTGGAGCACGTCAAGAACTGAGAACACAGAACGAGATTGCCAAACCCAGCATAATTGCTGTTTGAGAATTTGGATTATAAAATGGTGAAAACCAGTGATATAAGAGTATTAATAAATGTTCTTTTAAATGTGTGAATTTGGAAATAATGCACATTTCCTGAATTTAAAAATTCATCAATAATTACATGATTTCAAAGCTGAGGAGCTGATTTTTTTTGCAAATATCGTTGTCACTTTAGCTGCTAAACAGAAATTGTTTCACTGCAGTCGTTTGTCCAAATCAGTCATGAAAAGCATGAGGTTTGAATTGATGAGCTCTTCTGGAGCATAATTGTTGCTTAAAACAAAACAGTCCTATGTGTGAGTTTCCTATACATGAATTTATTTCCCCATCTGGACTTTTTCTCTTCGACCCTTCCCCCATATACACCCCAAAGAAACACAGAGCTTTTGCCAAGGTTCAACAAATCTATTTTGCATTTAGAGTACTTAGAGAGGAATAGTTTATTTCACATGGTAATCTGCCTTTCTGAAGTATTGAGGTGGTATTAAATGGCCTACAGGAAATAAATATAATGGAGAATTAGGAAGCAGGCATGTGATTGCAGTTATCCTGCCCTGTCTAGGCAGAGGGACTCTACTACTTCTGGCAGAGTCTCTCTGTGCCCACTGGGAGGCCAATGTCTACTGAACGTCTGTTATTTGCCATGTCTGGTGCCAAGGAAGGGGAAGACAGGAGGGAAGACAGATAAGATACAGTCATTGACCAGGAGGAATGCATATTTTAGAGCCAAGGTTGTCAAACTGGAGAACAGGAAGACTTTCTAAGAGATATATAGACATGTAGAATTTTAGGAAATTCTATTTCCAGACCTTCAACTTTCACGTGTACCCACCGGTAGCATGACTCAGGCTATCCTTCCCCATTTCCCTTCATAATAGCACTAGTCCCACTGTTCACAGAAAAGTCAATCCTAACCTCCATGCTGAATATGACTGCAATGTGACAATGTCCCAAGTGCGAGTACATCTAAGATGCCAAACCAATGGACAATTGGAAATGACCCCTCTAATGTTAATTGAGATGGCGTAAATCCTCCTTAGAGCATCCTGCTTTTCCCAGACTTAAACATATTTCTGTTTAGGATGATTCACTGATTTATAAGTGGAATATATTGGTCTTGTTGAGATGTTCTGAAATCAGTGTGGACGATGAAAGTGGTAGTGATCCTTGCTTAACAACTTTACTTCTTTTATCCCTTGACATGTACCTAATAATACACTGTTCATGAAGGAAAGTATGGGGAAAGCAAAGAGAGCTTTATTAAGAAATATTGAAAGGCTTAACATAATTCTCATTATAAATTGAAGTTTAAAAAATTCTGTTCAATTATAGTACTAATCCCCAGGATGTGTCATTGGCTGGGGGAAAAAAAAAACCCAAAACCCCACTATGGTAGTTGAAGCAGTATGGGGTAATAAGACTGATTTTTTAAAATGTAACTGAAAAGTCTCCTGGAGTATTGAATTTTTCAAAAGTTTTTGACACTGGATAAAATTGTAGATAAGCATTTTATATAATTTCTTTTCCTTTGTATTAATAAATTTCGTTTTGTTTTTTATTTTTGAATATTTATTTATTTATTTAAAGATAAATAAACATCTCTCTGTTGCCCAGGCTGGAATCCAGTGTCTATTTACAGGCAGGATCACAGTGTACTATAGCCCAGATTCCTGGGCTCCAAAGATCCTCACCTTCCAGTGTAGCTGGGACTACAGGTGCAGACCACTGCACCCCAGCTTGTAATTTCTTTTAGAGTCGATGTGCATTATTCAATACAGTAGTTAGAACATGTTTTATTAAATCATATCAATAATATTCATTCCTTTACTACAGGCCATCTGTATTAGTTTTCTATAGTGCATAACGAATTACCATTAACCACAGAGTTGGCGGCTCAAAACAACAACATTTATTATCTCAGTTTCCACCAGTCAGGAGCCCCCCGCAGAGTTTAACAGAATCATCTACTCGGGTCTACGGCTGCAATCAAGGATTTGGGAGTTTGATTTCGTTTGAGGCTCAGGTCCTCTTCCAAACTCACTGTTGTTGGCAGAATTCAGCTCCTTGTGATTGTAGGACTGACATCCCAGCTTCCTTACTGGCTGTCCACTGTCTGCTCTCAGCTCCCAGAGGCCTCTACAATTCTTCGCCATGTGGCCTTCTCACAAGCATCCTCATGACACAGCAGTTACTTCTTCTTTTTGAGATAGAGTCTCACTCTGTTGTCCGGGCTAGAATGCTGTGGCGTCAGCCTAGCTCACAGCAACTTCAAACTCCTGGGCTCAAGCGATCCTCCTGCCTCAGCCTCCCAAGTAACTGGGACTACAGGCGTGCGCCACCATGTCCGGCTAATTTTTTCTATGTATTTTTAGTTGGCCAATTAATTTCTTTCTATTTTTAGTAGAGACGGGGTCTCTCTCTTGCTCAGGCTGGTTTCGAACTCCTGACCTTGAGTGATCCGCCCACCTCGGCCTCCCAGAGTGCTAGGATTACAGGCGTGAGCTACCTCACCCAGCCACAGCAGTTACTTCATAGCCAGCTGGAAAATCTCTCCAGTTTGTAAAACATTTTTATATAATATAACCTAATCAAAGCAGCAGTTATCCCATTGTATTCATAGCCCCTCCACTCTAAA